CATCTTTCAATCTGCTGCCATGGGAGTATTCCAAAAGCATAGGTCTGACTACATCACCCCTGTGGCATGACAGCAGTGTCCTGATGCAACTCCCTTTACTCTGATGCAGCTTTAACATGCCTTTTGGTTCCATCTTCCCTAGTAACTTCTCCGGTAAAGCTTCCTTCCCTCACAAAATCTGATTGGCTCCAGCTTCTCTGATGTAGCTTCCTGACTTAGGGCCAATAAAAAGCTTAAGCCATGTGGGCTCTGGGCCTCTGAAATGTGGCCCAATATCATTCAAGTCACTATCCCTGATGACTGACTGATCAGATGGGTTTCCAGATAGAGATGAGGAGGATTGTGTCCAGAGAAGTTATGTGCCACAGTATCCTTGCTGAATATCCTTGCTGTGTTAGGGCTAAAGAAACTTCCTCTGCTCTTAAGTGTTCACTGACTCAAGATTGATTCATTTCTTCACAACATCAAACCAGAACTAAGAGCCATGCCTACAATTCCCCTACTCGGTAAACTCCAGTAGCTCCCCATTGCCTCTAGGATCAAACATAAAGTCCTCAGTTTGACATTTAAAGCTCTTAATGATTTAGTGCCCTCCTACCTTTTCTGCTTTCTTATTTTTCTCTCCTTCACACATTCTAAAATCCAGGTACAGTGGCCTATTTGCTGCTCTCTGCACAATACTCCATCTTTCATCTGTACGCATTGGCTGCCTCTCTCCTCCCCCAGCCAATACTCAAAAAGCTCTCTTTCCTTACCTGTGCCTTGCCTTTTAGTTTCCCTACCTTCCCTCAAGTCTCAGTTCAAATCTTGTGTTCTACATTAGGTTTTTCCCAGTTTCTTCAACTGCTAATGTCTTCCCCTTTGAGAATATTTACATAATACATAGTATATCTACTGTGTAAATTTCTTGCATGTACCTAGTTATGTATACATTATCTACCCCATTGGTTTGTGAGCTCCTTGAGAGCAGGGACTGTTTTTTATCTTTCTTTGTATCCCCAATGTTTAGCATAGTGGCTGGCACAAAGGACTTAATAATTGTTTTTTGTTGAGTTATAGCCTTTTTTAATATCCAGATATTTTTAGGTTTTACCTTTATAATTATATTATTTATGATTTGTGAATGAATGAAAAAGCATTTATTAAGCACTTTCTATGAAGAATCGACATTTTCAAATTGTGGTACTGGAGAAGACTTTTGAGAGTGCCTTGGACAATAGGGAAATCAAATCGGTCAATACTTAAAAAAATTAATTCAGGCTATTCACTGTTAACAGAATTTTAAATGTAGTCCTGACAGGACTAATCTCTAACCTGTAAATAGCTGGAGCTGCACAAAGCAGGCCAGAGACAGGAGTGCCAGAAATCAAGTAGTGATTTAATTAATTACTTCCAGAGTGGGGAATGCAGTCTGCAGACTTTTGTAGTTCTCCTGAGAAGGAAGGCTCCATGTACTGGAATGAAGACACAGTTTGTATACATAAATCACAAGTGAGAAAGGAAGGGAAGGTGGATTACAACACAATCATTTCTAGGGCCTGAGTGGTTTCCCACGACAAGCCCACGAATGCAGGACAATACAGGTGTTCTTGAATCCTGTGGGAACAATTCTCAAGTTCATCGTTTCACGTCTTAGAGGTCATTACTTGGTGGGGTACAGGACCAGGGCTCTGTGACGGGAACAGGTCCTACATTCTTTGATTCGCCTCACTTAACATTCACAGGCACAGTACAAGCACAGGCATGTCAGAGTGATTAATAACTCTAAGTTGCATTGTGAATCTCTGACTCCCAAGACAGAATCTGCTAGTGAAATAGTAGCTCTGAAAAATCAAAATTATTAGTATATTCATTACACATATTGTACCGATTAATATGAAAATAATAAATCCCTTCACATCACTGAAAAGTCAAATACAGCTTAAATACTTTGGCCGTACAATGAGAAGATGGGACTCATTGGAAAAGACCCTGATATTGGGAAAGATTGAAGGCAAAAGGAAAAGGGGACAGCTAGAAACAACAAACATGAACTTGGAGAGACTTCAAGAGATAGTGGAGGATAGAAGGGCCTGGTGTGCTATGGTCCATGAGGATACAAAGAATTGGACATGACTGAACAACTAAACAACAAATGTACCAAGCCCTATATTAAATGCAAGGGATACAAATAAAAATGAATATCAGTCCCTGTTCCCAAGAAAGTTGCCTTCTAATGGGAGAGGACACATATAAGAGAATCATGCCTAGGGAAGGATATTTTGATTGAGAAAGTCATAAGTATTCAATCGTTGTATCCTTTCCAGAAGCAACAGTAGTATTGATATGTTCACTGTTCTCATAGCAAGAGGTAGAAAGTAAGAAAGAGGGTGCTTTGCACATGGCAGCATAGCAAAGAGATGATCAGGGTGAAGCATGATCAGGGGTCTAGAGTGGCTAGCTAAGGTGGGCTTTCCCCACTCAGGATAGCGCAGCCCCCAGTGTTAATAGTGTAGATAAGATCCTCTATTTAACAAGTTTTAGACAAGTGGTTTTAGAGGACCTTATAATAGAAGTTGAATACACATATTGCTAATATCAAATGAGTTTAAATATTTACTAAAGGAGGACCTTCATAGAACTTCATGTCTTTAAAAACATCTATAATCCAGGCTTTTCTTTAATTTGTATAGGACTTCCCTCCAATTAGTACGATTTTAATTGAAAATGCTTTAGAGGGGAAATATAATACTGTATATTAAATTTTAATGGCATAACTATTGTTTTATATTTATATTATAGAATACCTTTTCCCCATACCATCAATGGTAATGGATTTTGTTTGATGGGAAGGGGAGGCATTACTATTGGAGTTAAATCCTTAATGGAAAACTGTATCTGGGCAAGTGACTATAATTGACCCATGGTATTTAGACAGTATACCACCAGGTGGTTTGGTTGAATTAAAACTACTTTGGGGAGGGGGAAAGGGAGGACAGGTGCAGGTGGTCCATATACCTCAATCAGTTGATGAATTGATTCCCTGTTGCCCCACCTCCAAGCCCAGTCAATATAATAACAGAAAATAAGGGGCATATAACAAAGACAATGATATGTTAAAGTTTTAAACAAAGTATGCAGGAGGACATGTATTCTTTGTTATCCCTTTATGAGATATACATTTGTATTCAAGTTTGATGGCTTTAGAAGGGCAGCTTGCCATTGGCTGGCCCAAGATCAGCCTGTCCTTGTGTGGCACTTAAATAGCCAGTTTGCCAGCTGCAGAGATAGAAGGAGGTGCAAGGAGTGTGATCACTGGCAGTCTATAGGAGAATCAGTAAGGAAGGAAAGAAGGAAGGAAGGAAAGAAACAGGTATTTATCAAGTGCCTACTATGTGCCAGGCACTGTGCTAAAGGCTTTATAAATATTATCTCATTTGATCCTCACGATATCTTAGGGAGGGAGGTGCTATTATTATCCCCGTTTTACAGTTGAGGAAACTAAAGTAAAGAAGTAACTTGCCCTGGGTCTCATAGCTAGTAAATTGATTGAACTCGAATCTTCCTGAGTATTCTAGCCCAGCATTCTATCCACTGTACCATCTAACAGCCTGAAAAGAGTAACCCCTAGCAGCAGTAAGCCAACTGTGGATTTAATGGAAAAGTCTGGAAGATGGGAATCAAGCCCCGAGGTTCTAGCTGAGTAACCCACCCAGGGGAGACCCAGTCTGAGGACAGTACAAAAAGAGAGAGGACATCAGAGTACTGAAATGCCAGAGGCATGAGTGGACTTGACCACGTATATTCTCTACATGTGTGCTTCACAACTAGTGTACTCAAGTTGGTGCCCACTGTTCCCACTGTCAGCATTTGTATTTATGGGACAGCAAGCCCAGGGCATATAGGGGGAATGTCTTATTGGTGCTACTATTACTATTCTATATTAGGAAATGTGTGCCTGTTTTAAGCTATAGCTTTAGGAGTGAGGACCCACAGAATTACTTTGAGTCTTACGTAGTAACAATCCTGGCAATCCAGCCTACAGCCTTTTAACATGCACACTGTTGGTATGGAATCTTCAGAGGCAGTGCTACAATAGCTGCCAGTTATCCAGTAGGAATTGAACAAGTTTAGCATAAGCCGATAATGATTTAACAAGTTAAAGAAGCAATTCGTATGCCATTTTTCAATTGTTTTAAGAATCACAGGGTTTTGAGGGCAGCTAGGTACACAGTGGATAGAGCTCTGGACTTGGAGTCAGGAGGACCTGAGTTCAAATATGGCCTCAGACACTTGACACTTGCTAGCTGTGTGACCCTGGGCAAGTCATTTAACTCCGATTGCCTCACCCCCCCCCCCAAAAAAAATTGCAGGGTGTTTTTTTTAAACTTGTCGTTCCTTTTAGCCATTGAACCCACTGCTTTGCCATTCATGTACATAAACGTGAGAGCCCAGATTCAAAGTCTAAAATATCTTCTTCCTTTTCAGTAAGCAATGGTAAGAAAATAAGTTAAGATTTTCAGGAAAGTCATTCTATTGCTGTAGCAATGGATGCTGTATATTTTTAGATTTTCTATCAAGTCTACTATCCAGGTTATTGATTAGAATTGGTTTATTTTTATAGCATTTTAATTCCTCGAAATATCAGAATCTATGTTGTGTTATTTTTTATATGCCCATTATAAGATTGTGTTATTTGACTGACTCTTTGTACCTTTTGTATCATGGAAAATCAGCTTACCTTTGCAAAGTGCTTCAAATACAGTATTTTGGTTCATTTTTATTGACTAATCTGTAAGGGAGATAGTTCTAATATTGTTAGTCTCAGTTTTCCAGATTAGTAAATTGAGAATCAGAATGTTTGCGAACTTCCTAAGGTCACAAAACTGGCAAGCACAGAACCTGGATTTGTATCTAGGCCTTCTAACACAAGTGCTCAAGTTTTTTTTTAAAATTATCATTATGTCTTGTACTTTCAGCATCTATCAAATGAATGTATTATTATTTTTTTATTCTCATAGGACACCTACTTGGACTGTCTCATGATGATTCTAAATTTTGTGAAGACAACTATGGCTCCATGGAAGATAAACGCTTAATGTCTTCCATCCTAACTAGCATTGATGCTTCCAAACCCTGGTCCAAATGTACATCAGCAACCATTACGGAATTCCTGGATGATGGTCATGGTATGTATTGTTTCAGTTCAAACTGTATATAAAATCAAACCACTTAGTTTCTCATGAGTATTGTATTATTTTATATCCATGTAATTTGAAATTTTCAATAAATCCAATTTGAGTTAATCATTACAATAAATGATAATGGAGGAAACATAAAATACTAACCTCACTAGTTATATAATGATGATAATTTTACTTTTAAAGTGGAAAATTTGAAGGGAATCAGTAAATACCTCAACATTACTTTGAAAGCCTGGATTTTATTCTCATCTTCACCACTGTCTTCCTTTGAGAGTTTTTGCAAATATCAGAGAATCACATAAACTAAAAATTGTTAGGGACCTTAAAGACCAAGTAACTCTACTCATATCTAAGCAATAATTAATTTTATAGCATCACAGATAAGTGGTCATTCAGTGTCTGTTTGAAGAGTTCCAGTGAGGTACTTAATATATACTCATAAAATTGAACTGAAGTCTAAAATAAGCCCACCAGTAACTTTGTTTTGGGTATGGTCTCTTAACAGTTCTGAATCTACTTAACTATACTTATCACTTAGCCTACATCTATCCATTATAACACATGCTCTGAAGCTACTATCCCAGCTCCTACCCACACTAATGAATAGAGTCTCAAAAGTGTGGCTATTAGGTCCCCTCATTACTGAAGGGGTGCCTTTGAAAGGTTGTAGGATATTTTTTCTAATGCTGTATAGCTCAGGTTCCTACCTGTGTACTTCCATCTATAATCATCATTCAATATCAATTAGTCAACCAGATTTAATTAGATTTTAGAAAAGGTATTTACTAAGTTGGTACAGAAAGAGCATCAGTACTCTTCCTACTCTTCCTAAAAAAAAAGTCTGTAACATACTCTCCCACAAATACATACCAAGTCCAGGAGAAAGAAGAATCAAGCTTGGAGTACACATGGAGCAAAAGGGTAACACAGCTCCTGGAAATCCTTTTCCTGGAGTCCTCAAGATATTCCCCTGGGTGTGGTGTAGATTTTCTGTATCACCTCTTTGTAGAGCTGTGAATCGACCTCCAGCACGTCCTTGGCTCCTGACGCAGCCACCACTATCTGCTGATCTGGTCCAGTGACTGCTAGGACACCAATGGGAAAATGAGGTATCCTCCAGATGCCCAGAGTTTACAAGGGCCAATTCTAGTCAAGAAAGTAGGGAGGGAATGAGGAGGAGCCAAAGATCAAGATAGAGCCTGGGGCTCTGAGAGGAATCAATTCTTTCTCAGGGATTAAGTAGAAATACATCTTCACTTGCTTAAATCTCTAAGGTTCCGAAATTTACTAAATTAGAATAGACTTACTGTCTTACCTGTGGTGTTTTTTTTATTAATTCAAAGAAGTGGGGAGAGGGGAAGGAATTGTTCACACCTAGTGAACAAAAAAGGTAAGTTCTCACCTAATAAGTGTATGGAGATAAGCATTTTATCATTTCCTTTAAGTGAGGTTGGGTAATTGATGATCAGCTCAGTAACTCTCCTTTTTTTTTTTTATACCATCCAGTCCATGATAATGGCACTTTGAAAATATCTAAACATACTATCTAAAATCTAAGCATTCACTGTTACTGATGTGACTTAGAGCTATTTGTCACATATATTATAGTTAACAGATAGAAAACAATTAATTTTGCTTCTCTGACCCATCTGTTATTAGCTATCGGAATGGTTTAACTCTAGTGTGGAAGTCATTTATAGGTATGCCAGTAGGCTGGTGAATTAGCTTCTTTCCTGCCCTTTCCCTAAGAAAAATAAAATGGAAGATTTTCTTTTCAAAATGACTTACAAGAAAGTTTTGTGGGCTTCAAAGAATAGAAATGGAAAAAAGAAGCCAACACATAGTGTGAATGATTGCAGACACTTCAAGTTTTCTAAATCAATTTTAGGTTTATCTTGTTGAGTACAAAGGCAGAAAATGTTTTATTAAAATGTTACAAATTGGTGAATGACTGTTACACTATATTAAGAAAATAACATTTAAAATATTCTCTGAAATTTAAATTTTATTGAAAATCATCTATTTAAAAAACACAAAATACTTATACGGATATGCATTGATGTGGATGTTTTCTCCAACAATGCCTACTCTCTGGTACTTTTATCCATGTCCTCTCATAAACTCAGCATGAAGTCCTTTGTCCTGGGCCCAATGTCCTTTCCATCACAGTCAGCCAATTTTTTTTAACCATACTTCCTTAATTATATCATTTATTCTTATCCTTTTTTTAGTTCTTTTTTCATTATTATATGTATACATGCCTGTGTATATATGTATGTATACATATCTGTGCTATTTCTCTAATCTAAATCTCACACACGGTGTGAGTCCTCAGAAGGTATGCGACTGTTACCCTTAGTTTCTAATGGGAAATATTATGGATCAGATATTCTAATGTTATAGCATCCAAGCCTTCACCCATGTGTTTCTTATTACAATCATCTCAATTAGCTCTAACAAAGACATAGACTAGATGGGAAGAGTTTAATAACTAGAAGAGTTATTCAAAACACTTCCTCCATTAACCTTGGGTTCTTTCCCCTACAAATACATAAAATCACTATGGGAAAAGTGGACTCAAACTTAGAGCACCAGCGAAGGACACATGTAGGATACACGTATGACGAAGGATAATCAGAATTCCTTGTTTGACAGAGCATGGAAGTTCTTTCTGTCTTTCAAAGAGTCCTTATACCAGGTTCTCAAGATCTCTGCTTCTATCATCAGCTTAATTATTAGTATTTTAAATGTAAGCTCCTTGTATAGTAGAGTAACTGAATCATACCAATTTTAGCCTTCTTTCTATAAGTGAAGCCAGAAGACAAAAGAAAGATATAGCTAAATGGAAGGATAGTCTTAGTGAGGCAGATAAAGGATTTGGCAGAGTTTTTTTTTAATTGTTTTACAAAAGCAAAAAGAAAAATAATTTCATAGGAAACTGGGTCATTTTGTATTATAGTACCATAATAAACATTTTCAAGAAGACTATCATGAAAATAATTGCAGTTTATGTACCAATATCTTTTACATAGTCCATAAGGAAGGAGAGAAAATCTATGAACAACTCAATAAGATCAAATGGAAGATAGTGGAACCAAGATGGCAGAGTAGCAGGAAAAAATATAGTCTCGCTCCCCAACACAGCTCCTCCATAAAGATATAGATAATGCACCAGACTAATTGGGAAATCCAAGAAAAAAATCACAGTTAAACATATTTCCAGCCTAGATCAACAAAGGTAGAAAAAGAGATTTGCAGACACTGGAGACATAGGTCTACTCAGGAGTCCACCATCAGGAGCATTTCATTGCTCTCCTCTTGAGGTGAGGTCTCAGTTCTAGGCCCCAGCCTAGTATTTAAGCCTAATCCAACCTAACCTGAACCTGAAATCTGATCACGGTATTCCACACCAACTATGAGCCCATAGTTATGTGACTTTGAACCAGAATTTTCAAGCTGGCTAATTATGGGTGAGGCCAGCAGCAATGTATTAAAAGTACAATCAGGGGTTAGTCCACAGGTGTGTTCCTCAGTCCCTAAACCCACATCAGGAATTTGCAAAACTCGGAACAGGAGGTCAGTGATCATATTTTTCCTTGACTCAAACCACTTTTTGGAGCACTGAAAGCTTGCAGGTCCATATTCTTTCTGAACTGTCTCTGAGATCTGGAATTAAAAAAAAAACTCAATACTCGAAGAGAGCTACAAAAGGACCCAACAAAACACAAGCTGAGCCCAGACATTCCTTGCTGAAGTGCTCAGAACCTAGCCCTAACATAATGTCTGAAGTCAGGAAGTAAAAAAAAAAAAAAAAAAGAATCTTAACATAAAATGCTATTAAAATGGCAGAGATGGTCCAGACACAATTCTAGAAGAAGACAAAGACCACAAAACATCTCCAATTGAACAAGCCATAAATAAATAAAGAAAAACACAGATTGTTCTCAAGTTCAACTAGAATTTCTGGAAGAGATGAAGCAAGAGATTTTTTTAAGAGCTAAAAATTATTTAAAAATCAAAGGAGAATTAATGGATCAAAAAAATGGGAAGAAAAATGGGAACTATGGAAAAAAGATATGTAAAGAGAATTAACAACTTGGCATAAGAAGTACAAAACCCTATTCAAACAACAAGTATGAGAGGATGATGGAGAGGAAGACCCAATTAGCAATAATTACTGTGAATACCAATGGAATGACCTCACCTCTGAAACAGAAGAGGATATCAGAATGAATTAAAAACCAGAATCCAACAATATGTTGTTTAAAGAAAAACATGTGAAACATAAAGATTTAGATGGAGTTAAAACAAAAGCCTGGAGCAAAATTTGTTGTGCTTCAGCTTAATTTTTTAAAAAGCAGGGGAAGGGCATCTAGGTGGCGCAGTGGACAGCGCACCAGCCCTGAAGTCAGGAGGACCTGAGTTCAAATCTGGCCTCAGACCAAACACTTGACACTCACTAGATGTGTGACCCCGGGCAAGTCACTTAACCCCAATTGCCTAAAAAAAAAAAACAAAATAAAATAAAATAAAAAGCAGGGGAAGCAATCGTGATCTCAGGCAAAACAAAAGCAAAAATAGAGTTAATAAAAAAAAGATAAGTGGGGGAATTACATTTTCCTGAAAGGTGCCATAGACAAGGAATTAATATCAACAATGGACATTTGTAAACCAAATAACATAGCATCTCAATTCTTAAAAGAAAAGCTAAATGAATTATAGGGAAACTACAATAGTGAAGATCCTAAACATACACCTTTTGGAGCTAGATAGATCTAACAAAGAAATGAACAAGAGAAAAGAAAAAACTGAATAGAATTTTAGAAAAGTTAAATATAACAAACCTATAAAAATTGAATGTGATTAAAAGTCATATGCTTATTTGTCAGTTACGCATGGTGCCTTCACAAAAACTGACCATATATTAGGACATAAAAATCTCATGACAGTGCTATCATAAGTAGAAAATTTAAAAATATTTTATA